CGGCCACGGACAGGCGCCCGGGGCGCTTCCCAGGGCCCCCGATCAGCCCAATGACCCACCCTAAACCCTAAACCCTAAACCCTAAACCCTTAACCCTAAACCGTAGAACCTTTGCGCCCCGAACCCTTTGAACCCTCATACCCTCTAACCCTAAACCCTCCAAGTCCTTACCCCTTTGTCATAATGTAATATTTAATCATAAGTAAAGAAGTAACAAAAAAAGTTCATGAACAATGGTTTATATGAATAAAACCGACAAATGAGAATAACACCAATAGTTGAAGGAGTATAAGAACATAACAAACAGTATAAGAACTCTGTCATACAATTTCGGGGTCCTCAACCCGAAACGATCCCTAGCCGAAAAGCACGACGAGTTTAGGGTTTAGGGGTTTAGTGCGAAGAGGACCGCATTTGGGATTTTAGGGTTTAGGGTTTAGGGTTTAGGGTTTAGGGTTTAGGGTTTAGGGTTTAGGGTTTAGTTCTAGGGCTGGACTCATGTGGAGGTCATGCCATCCCAGCGGCTAAGACCGTGAAGAGCTAGTTTAGCAACCCCTATTACCCCCGACGTAGTACTCCCGAAGGCTCACAAGGCTCCCTAACGTTTCCCAAGGTTCCCAGCCCCCCTGACTGGCCATAGGGTTTAGGGTTTGGGGTTTAGTGTTTAGGGTTTATCCCGGGGTTTATCCCAGGGTTTATCCCAGGGTTTATCCCAGGGTTTATCCCCCGTCCCTTTGAATACTAAACCGCTCCTTAGAGTTTAGGGTTTGTGGTTTAGTGTTTACGGGATTTGGGGTTTAGGGTTGGGATTTAGGATTTGAGGTTAGCTAAACCCCCCCCCCCCCCCCCAAAGCCCTGAAACCCGAAACCCCAAACCCTAAACCCTAAACCCTAAACCCTAAACCTCCCTAGGCTTGAAAAGCAGCACCAGGGACCCTAAGCCCTAAGACTTCGTGGAGCCTTACGGCTCAAACAATTTGGGGTTGGGTCTTTTGCTTGGTGCACCGTACAGTGTAGGGAGAGATGGGGCTTGGCCCTTAAAAGGGTTTCGGGGCGAAGTGGAGGATTTAAGGTTTAGGGTTTAGGGTTTAGGGTCTAGGGTTTAGGGTTTAGGGTTTAGGGTTTAGGGTTTAGGGTTTAGGGTTTAGGGTTTAGGGTTTAGGGTTTAGGGTTTAGGGTTAGGGTTTAGGGTTTAGGGTTTAGGGGTTAGGGTTTAGGGTTTAGGGTTTAGGGTTTAGGGTTTAGGATTTAGGGTTTAGGGGTTTGGGGTTTTGGGTTTGGGGTTTTGGGTTTAAGGTTCAGGGTTTTGGAGTTTCTGGAGGCACTTCAAGATGTGGCAAAACCGTGCTTCCTTCCCTGTCGAAGCCCATGGTGGGTGTCGGGTGGTCGGGTCTGGGGCTTTAGGGTTTAGGGTTGAGGGTTTAGGGTTTAGGGTTTAGGGTTTAGGGTTTAGGGTTTAGGGTTTAGGGTTTTAGGGTTTAGGGTTTAGGGTTTAGGGTTTAGGCTTTTTCCTTCGGATACTGCATGCATGTTTCAAGGACGTAGAATGGTCCTCCGAACCTTAGCCCCACAAAAAGCCCACCTGGAACACGAACTCCGACACCATCTTCCCTCCCCCCCTAGGGCTTGGCTTAGAACTCACTTAGAATTCAGGCTTCCGGGTTTAGGGCTTTCGGAACCAAAGAAATAAAGTAGAACTATCACCTTACAAAATAGCAGGCTACTCATGCGTTCCCACAGGATTTCCTTTCGCCGAAGGCTCGGAAATAGAGGGAAAGGCTTGAAAATCGAATCGAACCGTGGGAGGGTTCTCGGTGTTCAGGGGCCTCGAGTTTGGGGTATAGAGTTTAGGGTTTTATGTTGGACTGTAGGTGCAGATGTCTCTGAACCTGCAACTCGAAACCCCCTCAGTGCCGCCGGCCTCCTTCAGAGGATCGTGGCCCACTGTACAACATTTGGAAGGCACTGGGTCTTTGGAAGATACAGAGAGAAGCCCTAAACCTTTCTGCAGGTTCACAACTCCGCGCACGCGCAGCTCTTGCGAAGTCTTAAGTCGACCCATGAGCCCTAGACTCCGAAAACCCCAAAACCCTAAGAACCCTCAGACCCTAAGACCCTAAGACCTAAAGCCCTATAACCCTAAAACCCGAAAAGTCAAAAAATCCTAAAGCCCTCAAACCCTAATACCTCAAAACCCTCAAACCCCTAATAAACCCTAAAAACCCCCTAAAAACCCTAACGCCCTTAAACCGTTTAACAAATCGCCTCCTAGAGTGCCACCGACTCTTGAGGCAAATTCTGCGGATCACCATCTGACTCCTCCCGCCGGCCCAGAGTGTCACCTAAGACGCGCTTGGAATCAGGGTTTAGGGTTTAGGGTTTAGGGTTGAGGGTTGAGGGTTGAGGGTTGAGGGTTGAGGGTTGAGGGTTGAGGGTTGCGGGTTTAGGGTTTAGGGTTTAGGGTTTAGGGGCTTGAGGAGAAGGTGCTGGTTTGGCGGGCTTTGGGGTTGTTGCTTTACGGCTGTTGGGGTTTAGGACTGTTAAGTTTCGGTTTTAGGGTTTAGAGGCTTTTGGCTTAGGGCTTAGGGGGTTTAGGGGTCTAAAGGCTAAATGGAGAACCAGCAGAAAGAGGCAGACAAACTCCCATGAAGGAGCGAGTTGCCAGGGCCAGCCTCCACGGAGCCCAGGGTCGTGGCAACAAGCGTCCCAGGCGACTCGTCGGGCCTCTACTGCACTTGGAACCCTCGCAAAAACTATGAACATCTAGCTGTTTCTTAGGAGTTACAGAAAGCAAACATTAAGAATTGTTCCCAAGTATTCCTAAGGGGCGGAGGGGGCTGCTGGGCAGCCGCCCGGAAGCGTCGCCGCCAGTGGTACATGCTCAGGACGTTGAGTATGGTACCGACGGCAAGGGCAAGCACAAGGGGGAAGGAGGCACCCTCATCGTCCGGTGCGCCGTAGCCTGAGTCCAGCCCGTCTCCCTGCGTGTTGAAGGCCTGGATCCTCCCGCTGGAAGCATACCAGCGCTGGCCGCTGACCGTGGTGCCTGCCACGTCGTAGATCCGATTGGCCGCCTTGCTGGCGCCCTCTACATCACAGAGCCCTGCGACGAGGATGCTCCCATTTCCGAACTCCTCCACCCGCGCGAAGAAGCCTGAGCTGGAGGCAAAAATACCCAAGATCCCCTAAACCCTAAACCCTAAACCCTAAACCCTAAACCCTAAACCCTAAACCCTAAACCCTAAACCCTAAACCCTAAACCCTAAACCCTAAACCCTAAACCCGAAACCCTAAACCCTAAACCCTAAACCCTAAACCCTAAACCCTAAACCCAATCCTCGTGAACCCAGGGCCGGCTGTTCTGGTCCAGCACATCGAATCTAGGCATCGCTCCATTCACCAAGACCGAAAAAAGAACGAACCCGACGCCTTAACGGGCATCCTAACCCCCCCAAACCCTAAACTGCAAAATCCGAAACCCTAAATCCTAAACCCTAAACCCTAAACCCTAAATCCTAAACCGCAAACTCCGAAACCCTAAATCCTTAACCCTAAACCCTAAACCCTAAACCCTAAATCCTTAACCCTAAACCTTAACAGCCTCGAAGCTGTGTCCTGGTCGGGAGGAGCAACAGGGATCCCAGCTGCTCCAGCCACGTGCCCCAGAGACCTCCTTGTACACCCTAAACCTCCCTAAACCCTAAACCCTAAACCCTAAACCCTAAACCTTTAGGGACTACACGCTAATCCCGAAAACCCAAACCCTGAACCCTAAACCCCTCGCAAGTAGAGGAGATAAAGCCCTACACATCCTTACACAAAAAACTGAAGCCCCCTTGATCCTGTTCGCAAGCCCCTTTTGCCCGAACAGCCCCACAAAGCCCTGGACTCTAACCTAAGAAGAAAGAGATACCCTTTTGGCCAAACCGGGCCAAACCCCTAAAAAAAGGAATAGGGTTTAGGGTTATGGTTTAGGGTATATGCAAACAGCGTTTAGGGTTTAGGGTTTTGGGGTCTAGGGTTTACGGTTTAGGATTTAGGTTGTTTAGGGTTTAGGGTTTAGAGTTTAGGGTTTAGGGTTTAGGGTTTAGGGTTTAGGGTTTAGGGCTTTCAACGGCTCCTGCTCGGCGGTTCTCCAGTGAGCCCAGTTGGCACAGCCGTCCGATGCATCGTGCAGGTTGTGAGTCCTCGTCAGCACTCGACCCTGGACCCGAAGGTTTGAGGTTTAAGGTTCAGGGTTCAGGGTTTAGGGTTTAAGGTCTAGGGTTTAGGGTTTAGGGTGTAGCACGGGTCAGCTGAACGCAATAGCGTGAAGACATGCCCACCTCAAGGCCACCCTATCACAACTCTCTGCGAAACCAAACCGGAGCCAGCCAAAGCCAAGCCAGCCATTCAAAATCCGTGAAACCGAGCCGGAGCCAGCCCGAACAAGCCAGGCATTCAAAATTCACACATCGAACATTCTTAGAGGACTCTGACGCTAGTTAGAAGACTTACAATGGGTTGGAAATTGAGGAGACTCGGAAGCCCAACAACCCAAGCCTTTAGTGACTAGACTTCTGGGTCCCTTGGGGCCATAAGGCAAAAAGATACCCCTTCAGGTTTTGGTTGTGATAAGGCAAAGGACACCCCTTCAGGTTTTTGCGAAGGGGACGGTCTGGGCCGAAGGGGTCACTTGGGGCCATAAGGCAAAGGACGCCCCTTCAGGCTTGACGGTCTGGGCCGAAGGGCCCTCTCATAGAAAACTCAGGCGTGAACAGGTTGGGCTTGAGGTGAGGCCACAAGGCAAAGGACGCCCCTTCAGATTTAGCAAGAAGTCTGAAGGGCTCATGTTCAACGGTGTTTTGGCCAGGCTGCCCCCCTTCAGAAAGTTCAGGGGCTCCCAAGAAGGCCCAGGGGGCGGTTCAGCGGCCCAGAAGTCCAAGAGGCACCGCTGTTGCTGAGCAAAAGTGCCCTGGCCTTGCCTGCGTTGCAGGATTCCACCTCGTCTCCCAAGGGCT